CAGTGCAGTGGACTTGGACTAATAAACATGAGAGGAGTAAACAAGTCCATATACGGTCAAATCGGTCAGCAGTATCTTTTCTGCCGCATTTTGATTTCCATTGTTGGTTTCCGATTCTTTTTCATTTATTTTTTGTCACTTATGCATTTTTCATGGGACGATCCCCAGACTGCGATCCCAAAAAATCCCGAGGAGCTGAACTGGAGTGACAGGCGGCGCAGGCGCATTGCAAATTGTCAAACCGTTATGCGAGGCCAACTTTGGGATCGAGATGGAGTTGCAGTTGGAGATGGAGTTGGAGTTGGAGTTGGAGAAAGTCCAGCGCGTTGGCGGCGTTGCGATTTATTGTGAAATATTGAAATTACACAAGCTGCGAGCTGCTAGAGTCTTGCCAGTGAGAAAATGAGCTGTGCGCCAGTTGCATCTGCATTTTATGCAGGAAAAAACCCAACCAATTGGGGGAGCAAAAAAAAAATGAATGAAAATAAGTCCCACTGCGGTTATCGCCATGACAGCTGTCAATCGCGGCCAGAAAAAGTCCAGTGAACGAGAAAGTTTTCTCCTTTTCCCCCCAATCGCAACCAGGCGACGACTTTAATTGTGCCAGGCTTTCAATTAGCAGAACAAGTGATTTTATAGCGCCCTCAACTTCATCGGCCACTTAAATTGCTCCTCGAGTTGAAGCAGGTAAAAGTCTTACTTGTCTCCGGGTGTTGGCCCAGAAATTAACCAGTCGTAAATGGCAAAAAGGACAATTACTTTATTTGCGCACTCAATTTATGCTGATTTATGGAGGGGACAATGCTCAATACTGCTGCGACCGAAGCCATGCCCATCGCAAATGTTAATTGCACTAAAATGCAGATTTTACATGCACACAGCAAAACGTAGTACGAACTTTGAACTTACAAAGCAACCAACAATGAAAAATAGTTGCCACATTTTAAATAAATTGTTGTACATTAAGGTGTAGCTACTACGATCTTAAGCATTTTAAAGATAGTATAAACACTATAAGCTTTTACAAGTTCGTTTGTATTTGGCAAAATCAATCGATTATTATCGTCTATTTTCTGAATTTCGAATTCATTTTTTTCGAGTGTTATAAATATTTACTTTGCATATATCCGCGCATGTAGCTGAGGTCCAGTTTGGGGCAGACCTTGGCTGCATTTTGACTGCCAGCCGGCGAAAGATAAACAGCGACAGTTTTTCTACCCGATAAAAGGAATGGCCCTGGAGATGGAGAGGGTGCGAATGGGGTGGCTGGAACCTTGTTGCCTTGTCTGCCAAACTCATTAAAACGAATCTTTTTTAATGGCCAAAAGTTTGCCTGGTTGCTGCCATAATCAGTTAAATTAAGGCCATGGCAGCTCAAAACTGTTTGCTGCCTGCCAATGTCGTTAGCGTTGGTCCACAAAAAATCCTGGCAGTCATAAAGAGGGCTGCTAAAAAGTTATAGAACCATGCCACTGATTTTATTTGTATCTATTGATTGCTACTAAATAACCATTAGCACAGACAACATAGTCTGTACACCAAAAACTTCAATGCAACAATTATGTATATTCCTTTGTATTCCAGTTACATTTTCTTTAATAAGTTTGTTATGAAAACTTATTTTTTAAGAGTATACATTTCCTGCACAAACAATTGCTAATTTTTAACAACCAATTTCTGGCACCAACTTTCGTCCCTTTACTGCTTTACTGCTTTATCCGTTTATTCTTCAGTCCCCAGAAAGAGGAAAATCTCATTGGGAATTCAATATTCGGAGGCAGTGGCTTAAAGGCGACAACTTGTGTGTCAAACGCGCAAAGGCAACGCGACCAGCGACTAACAACTTACTTAAGCCAACTGCAGGAGCAACACTCCTCGCACAAGAAGGCGATAGATGACGCAGGCACTGCCATATTCCATGTCACACTCTAAAACTCTAAAAGGCCGAAAAGGCAGCTCCAGTCCCACATAAACGTGCTCCGTCGGCTGAAGAGTGTTTTGGGTCCTCCGATCCCCCGAATAGCTCCCCTTCCCCTTCCCCGCCGAATGCCCCTGGAAATCCCTGCACGTGGCCAACGGACTGGCCTGCACTCTTGTGCACTAATTACGAAAACTCAGCACGTTTTGCCATCGCATGGCTCAGCTTTTGGCCCGGTTGTGTGGCAGTTTGGCTGCTGCTTGCTGCCTGCTGCCTGCTGCCTGTTGGCTGCTGGCTGTTGGCTGTTTTGGCCTGGCCGCCTAGTTGCCTTGTTGCCCGAGTGGTTAAATGCTGTGCGGAGCTGTGCTGCAGTAATGGCAGCAACATGCAACGCGACAGTTGCCTACACCCAGGGGAACTGCTCAAAACACAGGAAAAAACACAAAGGAGAGGCAAGGATAGTATCGCAATAGGGTATCCTATTTTGGAGGTAATAATATTGAAGTTTGTGAACAAATTCAAGTGAATATCATGATAAGTTAATTGAATATATATCCTAAAAACTGAAATGGGCATAGGAAATCTGATGAATGCCTTATCATTTTAATGCAGAAAACTAAAATTAAAATGTATGCATTTTTGCAAATGTGTTTCACTATTATTTCTCTTTGTGTAATAGCAGCAGTGCGGCGGTGGTGGCGTTGCTCCTGCAAAAGTTAAAAACATTGCGGCAAGCAATAAAATCAACATTGGTTTCGGTTTTGGCTTTGACTCTGCCCCAGCGGAGTCCTTCACTTACCGCCTCCCACCTCCCACCCCCCATCACCTCACCCCACCAGGCCCGTTGTGTAACTGTATTACTGATGAGCTTCAAAATGTGCTTGGCGTGCCACAATTTTACCAAAGTCAATGTCTGAGGTTGCCACCGGACCAACTGGGCGGAAAAAGCCGCCGGAGTAAGCAGCGGGCTAAGAGCTAAAAACCAAACTGAGCTGTTCGTGGCTGCAGTAATGAGAAATGCAGCGGAGTTTAGCATGGCCATCAAAAGCGGTCTGCAAATATGATTGCCAAGATTTGAGATTGTCTCATGCTCAAGATGAATTGCATTTAACTTTATTTAAATGCAAAATATTTATTTATTATAAGCACTGTTATGAAACCCATTTCGAGTTCTAAGAAACTCACACACTGTGTGTAATTGTATACGAGTGAGTATACCGAAATCGGAAAAATCTTGACACCCTTATAAAGTGATTCCTTTAGCGCTCAACCGAATCCGAGGTTTGGTCAACTACATATTTGCAATCTTTACGTCGGCAACATGGCTATAAAAATAAATTACACACAGCTTAAAACTTATGTGAGGTAGGAAGAAAAATGGCTTATAGACGCGCAGTGCAACCAAAAAAGCAGCTCACCGTATTGAGAGGTATAACAAAATGACCAATCGACCTCGGGCCCCAACGGAGGAAATATCCCGGGCAAGTTGGAGTGATGAACGTTATTGCTCTTTTGCTGGCTGCTCAATCGAAGTGATTCGCCCACACGCACACACACATCAATTCACAATGAAGGGGGTGGGTGGCTAACGGTGGTAAAGGTAAAGCTTGAAGCCGACAATGAAGACATTAACATGACCAACGACAACAGCCAACGACAAAACTCTCCATGCCCCATAGCTCATCACATTAATCTTCTTAATACGCCCATCAATAATTCAAAGCCAAAGGCATGACCAACTGGCCAAAATCGAACATCTAAGGTCCGAAAACCCAAGTCCCGAAACCCCCCAAAACAACTTGGCCAAGTGAAGAAGTCGCCTTAAACACGCAACCATTTATATCGAACATATCCGAGTGTTGAGTGAATTATGAGGCACTACACACGCTCCAACTTCATAGATTCTTTTCGCCTGAAGTGCCTCCTTCGAAAACAGTTTGTCGTCCATCACATGCAAACTATAACGTATAGTACAAATATTTAGCTCTTGCCTCGCTTGACACTGAAACTTTATGGCTCGTTTGTTATTGATTTACGCCCCAATCGGGGAAATACCAGATTCTGTACATAATTGTTTCCAGATAAGTGCTGGAACCAAAAAATTCTAAAATACTGTATAGTATAGGCTTGAATGGCTCGACTTAAGCTTTTTACGCACCGAAAATGTGTTCTGAATATATGTTCTATATAAAAACAGAAGTAAATAGAATTCGGCAGCTGATAAGTATTTCATTTTACGCGCATCTGTCCACATATTATATTACAATTGTTTATTTATATTCCATGCCGACGCATTCAGTCATTAACCTAATCCTGAAGCAAAACTTATTTGCCACGAAAATTGGAAAAATGAAATCTATGATGCTCCATTGATATACAAATAATTGTTTAAATCTTATGGTTTTTTATGAATATGGATTGTGTATTGGAAGTGGTTCTGCGCATGATGGTGGTCTTTAAAAATATTCAATGTCGTCTACTCATAAATCGCATTTCTTTCACTGCACTTTTTGCCCCTACATTTCGCATCTTGCAACCAACTATCGAAAATTGCGACCGTAATTGTATATGAATGACATATGCTGAACGCACAAAAGCGCTGGAGAGCTGCCGTGCTGCCCATTGTGCTCCTGCAACTGACAGGCAGGCGCCCCCAATCCCAATCCCAATCCCAATCCTGGGATCCATTGTTGGGCCTGGACAATGCCGAAAGTGCCACTGGCTTTGGCTCCACGCCTGGCTACACCTTGCCCCACCTGGCCCCACCTGTTCTCTCGACAATTTAACGTCAGTCGCTTCATGCGGAATTTTTCTGTTGCCATTCGACATGGTCATCTCGGCATTGCCGGTTTTTCACGCCTACTTCTGAGCCCAGTCGACTGCAGTCGACCCCACGCAAATGCCCTTTGTTCCGACTCGGCTTTCTCCTGAATTGTTTCCCGCTTCCTTTTGCTGATGAAGATAGGCATTCAGCGAGCCACATGTGTCAAGCCTTCGCTGCTGCTTATCGGCGCCAGCTTAAATGTCACTAATTGGGTCAAAGGTGCGTCATGTATGCGATAGAGGGCCGAATTGTATGATGCCGTGGGTATAAAAGCAGCAGCCGACAATTTTAGTTTGCTCATATACAAAGTGAAAAAGGAAAAAAGTAAGTGATCGAAAGAACTCCAAGAATCCTCGGATTCATTCAGCGTGCTCAACATTTTTACAAGAGAGACATTCAAAGATTCAAAGTAGAGTACACTTGTTTAGATAATTACATTTTAATAAGTCATGAAGAGAGAAATAATTATAAACAGTCGCCTTAACTCTTTGATTGATTGTAAACAAATATTACCCAATCAATGTTTAATAATTGTGTGTATCGACTTGCAGCCGCAACCAACATGAACTTCTCGTGGCTCACCATCTTCATCTTGGCCCTCATCGCCATGACTGTTTCGGCCAAAAGCTGCCCTGCCCCATTCAAGAAGGAGGGTAACAAGTGCACTGCGAAGCGTATCATTAAGGGAGAGTGCCCACCTAACTCGCAATACCAACCAAGCATCAATCTGTGTGTCTACAAAAACTAAATAAATAAAAACGTTATCAGGAAAAGCGATCGAATACATTTAAAACAATTTGAAAAGAAATCTGCTTTGTTTTGCCGCCTATCAGCGTAGTGTTATCAAAAAGGGGCTGCCTTTCATAAGTTCGAATCACTAGAACTAGACCAAGGTCGAGTTGATGGAATCACTAGCTCGGCACATCTGTTGGTATATAAGGCCCATCTCAGTTGCATCCCATAAAATAGTTGCATTTTGTAGTTGCCCAAGGTGAGTTGAGTCTGCGTAGTAATCCAATTCAAACTACGGATTTTCCTTCAAGTGCAGAATTCGAAAAGGATTTCATAAACATGCTTCTGAAATGCACTTGGCTCTTGATTTTGGTCCTGTCATTGATGGCAGGAGCCTTTGCCAGCAGCGGATGTCCTGCAGGATACAATGCCGAGAACAATCGGTGCACCATCGAGCGTCCTGTTCACGGCTCTTGTCCCCCCGGATCCTCCTACAGCCTGAACATTAACAAGTGTGTCCACTCCTAAAGATCTCGTCGAATGAAATACCCAATTTCAAGTTTTACTCTTATATCAATGTGGAAACAACAATGTGACCTTTAAATCTTAGTTAGGAGAAAACAAAAGTGTAGAGTTTTTAAAAAACATTGTAATGTATTAAAAAGATCACGGATATACCTTTTGCCTGTTAACATCTCAGGCTTTCAACTTTCGCCTTTAAGCGAGTGCCATTTTCGAATCAAACTCACTGTGGGCCAATTATAGTTGGCTTTTTCTGCCGGCCATGGGAAGTTCAACAAGTGTTGGAGCTAAACGGGCATGAGTGAGGTCCAAAACTGATGAGCCTGAATGGTGATGATGATGGCGAGTGACGCCGTCGCCAGGCGGGCACGTTGTCCATTAGTTTATTACCATGTAATTGACTCAACGCTTGTCAGCCGTCAGCGGCGTTGGCTCCTGCGGCTTTAATGTGCTGCATTTAATGCCCAGGCCAAAACGCCAGCGACAGCGCATCAAAGTCAAAGCGGTACGTTTGTATGTCTGTCTGTGCATCGGTCGGATCGGTGTACTATATATATATATGTATATATATATGTATATATATATATATATATATATATATTTATACATGTCTGCCTATCTCAGCCCGTTTGTGATTAGCTTGATTGGCCCGCTGCCTGTCTGCACCTTTGGCCTCCCCCTTATCGGGGGCCCCTGTGTTTCGTAAGATGTGCCTTCGAATTGAAACGTCTCACAATCGCCTAACACCGCCTGCTATAAAATTCATTAAAAACTTTGCTCACCCCACGACTATGCCTTAAAACGCCCAAAAACGCTGGCATACCAAGACATAAAAACGTAGAAAACATTTAACAGTGGCAAAAACTTTGGCAAGTCCAAGCTGTCGACAGGATGTGCAGCAAACCCAATTGCATATGCCAATGTAACAAAGTTTTCAACAGCAAAATGTCCCACGCCCCACCAGTGATGGCGCTTCTAAGGCCTCGGGGACATTTGTTTGTGCGAAATTGTGCCGGAATCTCTGACTAGAGTCGAAAATCGTATTCATGAAATCTTAATTATTATGGAAAATTTCAAACTTATTTCGTTACCAAGCTCTTATATATATTTATATATTTATTTGAAACAGAAACTGGGCCAAACTAAACAAAATTCTATTGAACCGAAAAACGAAAATGTTTTACCAAACTTTATTGAAGAAATAAAATTGGAAAATTTCAATTTTGACATTTTTGCAGGCACAGCCAAGTGGTCAGCACTGAAGGCGCTCCGCGTCCATAAACTAAACGTCCTTGTCGCTGGGGCTTGTAAATTTCTATGACTTGCATAAAAAAGGACTCTCCCCAGAATGCCTTCCGCTGCTCTGGGTTTCCTTTTGGTCTAAAAGTTTCCTGTTGCAAAAGGCGGCCAGCCGGACAGCGGACAACGGCAGGAAATAAGGAAATGTCCTCAGTCGTATTTGCAGCCTTGGCAGCGACATTTATCAGTCAGTTGTTGCCATGTCCTTTGGGCCGATGGCCAGGAGTTTGAGGTGCAGGTTGGACTGGGTTGGGTGGCGGCGTTTTAAGGTTTTCTTGTTGGACAATTTTCAAAAGAAGTCTCAAGTGCCTGCCGCCCGGAGCACTTGCAACTGACAGCAATCGCTGCAGTTTGTTGCAGTGGTCGCCAGCCTTTCCATTCGCTATACATACATATATTCTATATAGTGTATCTGGTATCTGCTATCTGGTATCTCTGCTCTTTGGGGCTGCCTGAAAAGTTGCGTCGGCAAACTCTCGCGCAAATATGATGAACGTAAGCAGTAAAGTTCTGGCCAACTGATAGCCGAACGCCGCTACTCGGCCATCTTATAAACACAAGCTGGCCCTAAAAACTTTTGCAGCCCAGCAAGAGGGACTTTCCTCTGGTGACGGCCTCAACTTTATGGGCGGCCACATAGTTGCGGCCTGGCTGCATTTCAAGAATGCTCCTGCTCGAGCGCGCACACGGTGGAAAATGGGGTGCACCTGTATCCATTTTGAAGTCGAACTTCAGCCGACACCTTCTATAAGCCATACGTGTCCGGAATATGTTTAAGGAACTTGAAAGGCTTCATGCAAGCTGACAATATGAAATAGGCCCATATTTTTCTCTCTGTGCACTTCCTTCCGATACTTTTCTTATCTCGTTGGGGCATTGGCCACCCTCTGCCGCCGCCCATTGGTAAAAACGAAAGTGTGGCCATAATTTTCGGACTGGTCCTTGCTCTCTGGTGTGTTGCTGTTGTGGTCGGCGTTTCTTGGTTTCTGGCCAAAACTTTCCCGTTATTGATGCTGCTGCTGCTGTTGGCCGAAAAGATGTGCTGACGAGGCGCAGCAAAGGCGCCTGGAGAACGGAGGCTACTTTTCAGATAGTTTAAATGCACTTTTACAGGCTTTTTATGACGTCAACCCGTCGTAATTGTTTGGCGTATGATGTGAAAATTAATGCGACGCAGACTTTTTTAATTACTGCAACACTATGCTAATGAGTTGGTAGCATTGAAATGCATCGCTTATAAACGTGTATCACTTTTCAAATTTCAAATTAATCCGCAAAATACCTAAATCGCTGTGAAATTCCAATCAATTTGCCTGTTTACTATTACTTTTAATCAGTTATTAAATTCGTTTGCTTGTCAAAATTTTTGCTAATTCGCTGTTTACACGGCTTAAATCGCGTGTAAAATAATCTGTGTGGTAAACTACATATTTGTTGTAAATTAGAAAATTACTTTTGTTACTAATTAAGGTGTGCATGATTTCTGACAAGAGGGATTACATTGGCAGAGTTGTTGAATCTGCAGTATATCTGCAATAATATCTTCATAATTTTGGCTATTAGCTTGAATTGGTTTTCAAAATTCTAAATTTTTAATGTGTAATATAATAATTTTGTAGCACTGTGATCTTTCGTACCAAAGAAAAACATACATGATTATTGCTTTATTGTTGACATACTTCGAGTTTTTTAGAACCTCGTGTTTAATAGAAAATATCGCTGGGTTCCAATCGTTGCTTTAGTTTTCCTTACTTGCCGTTCTCTTCGGAAGAAGACCCAAGAATCCAAGGAGGCCCATGCCAACCTAAAAAATTCGATATTTTATACTAATTTCAGAGTAAACAAAAAAGTTGTGCTAGAAGATTTTCGGTCCGAAATCAATTTTGATCTAAGAAACGAATTTGATTAATGTTTTGGTCAATTTCGTTGTAATATGAGCTAAATATTATTTAAAATTGATGCCGTGACTATTATTTTTTTTAAGAAGTTGATTTAATATTCTTTAGTTAAAATCGCCGCTCGAATTAGCTACCGTTTACATATAAATATTTTTATTATTAATCATCTGTAATATATGTATTTTTTGGTACCCAGGGAACACCACGGGGAGGATATTGCAATTGTAATGGGGTAGTATATTTATATGACCTTTGAGTCGACTTGAAATAATAAATGTTAAACATAAAATATTTCCATGTTCCCCAACTAAGCTAGTTTTCTAACTATTGCTTTTCGATATAATTTGCTCCATTTTATTAAATTTTTGTACTATATATATATATATATATATATATATATATATATATATATGTATGTATATATTTATTTTTAGTCGTCACTAATTTTTCAAAATTGAGATAGAATGCTGAGTTTTGCTTGCTTTTTTTGTTTATCAGCTGTCACAGTCCACTTGCAATGCTAAGTAAAACTTTTATAATTTTGTTTAAAATATATATCAATTTTATACACATAACAGTCATTATTTGAGTGAAACCAGTATGTATGTATGTATGTATGTATGTATGTATGTAAGTATGTATGTATGTATATGTATGTATATATGTATGTAGTGTATGTGTAACATGCACCAAGTAGTAAAAATTGTCTTAATTAAGGCCTGAAGAATGTTTAACTTACTGTCGGAACACATAGTTATTGCCGCTTTTAATATTTGGTGAGGAAAAATATTTTCTTGTAGCCCTATAATTCCCAACTAGTTCTAGCGAGGACTGTAAGACATGTCTTCTAATTTAGAGTCGCAAAATAGTTCAAGTCATCTCTCTTACCGGACGAGCAGTGAATGTAGTGTACGTGTAGTGTATGTACTGGTGTATGTATGCATGTATGTATGTATGTATGTATGTATGTATGTATGTATGTATGTATGTATGTATGTATGTATGTATGTATGTATGTATGTATGTATGTATGTATGTATGTATGTATGTATGTATGTATGTATGTATGTATGTATGTATGTATGTATGTATGTATGTATGTATGTATGTATGTATGTATGTATGTATGTATGTATGTATGTATGTATGCATGTATGTATGTATGTATGTATGTATGTATGTATGTATGTATGTATGTATGTATGTATGTATGTATGTATGTATGTATGTATGTATGTATGTATGTATGTATGTATGTATGTATGTATGTATGTATGTATGCATGTATGCATGTATGCACGTATGCACGTATGCATGTATGTATAATTTGTTTAATGGGTCGATATAGGTCTCCATACCCTAATACTGCCATGGTTTCTACTGCCGGACACTTCTGGAGAACATGGGAATATATGTATGTATAAATATGTGCTGCATGAAGAAAATGTTTGCTGCTTTCAATCTATTCGAGCTTGCCATAAGCGAACTATACGCCCGGACGGACAGATGGAGGTACAGTCGAACGTGACCAGATCGACTCCGCTATTGATCCTGATCAAGAATATATATACTTTGTCTGGTATACGTTTTTACCAAAGACATTTGAATAACACTCCACGCATATCTAATGTTATTCTAACGTCTTTGGTTGTACCCAGTAATAACCAAGTATTATTGTAACCCTTTCGGCCTTGTTTGTCTGCTAGTCTTGTGCGTGCTCGCAACTTTTATCCAAAAACTAAAAACAAGATGGCGGTTTCCGGTCTGTCGTTGTGTGTGCGAGCCCCATAGGCATAAAAACTTTAATTTGAGTTATTTGCATGAGTAGTACTCAGAGTTGAAATTATAATATAATTCTAGCAGCAGGGCAAAAACAAAAACTTTATCAGTGACAAGGGGACACAAAATTTCGGTGAGCCTGGCAGTTATCTCCCGTCTCCCTCTCTCTGTGCTGCCTTTGTCCCATTTCCCCT